AGTTCTGTTCTGTGATGCCGTCGCACGGACGGGGTTCTGTGATGCCGTCGCAGGACGGAGTTCTTCCGTAGTGGACTTAGTCTTGGCTAAAATATCGCAACGGAACCCAATTCTATTATATATCTTATTCAATAAAAGGCCACGTATTCTAACAAAGATTACACTGCACATTACCAATCAGATTTCCTTGTCCTTTATATTAGTTGAAATAGATTTGACTTCTTAGAAACTGATCGTTATTAGTAATTCAAGTACCGAAAACCAGATCAACCAAAATGCAGCCAAACAAGAAGGAAGAAATAAATAATTCTGCTTCCTTCAACCATGGTCTCAAATACTGATATCAGACTATATCAAGGACTGATACCAGGCTATGTGATTAGTAATTCTTTTATTATTTCATTATGTGATATGAGGCATTACGGATCGGTATAATAGTCCAAAAAATTCCCAAAATTGATATTGAATTGAGATTTAAGTTCTTTTCTCTACTGATATATCTACTTTTCTTTTCTCCAGTCAATCAATAAGCAACAAACTTCATAGGGATCACTTCCCCATTCCTCCGGTTCAAATTACCAACATTGTTATCCTCATGACAAGCAAAAATCATTGTTGAAGCAACAGTCCGAGATATCTTGAAATGCATACACTCTCTGCTTCTTGACCTTTGAATTCATTCTAAAACATATACATAAACTCTTTCGACAATATAAGTGATTTCATGATAATGTATCAGACCTACTTACCAAAGCAAGAGGTGACGAAAAAAGAAAAATGCATAGATATGAAGTAAGTTGCAAAGGCATGTAAAAAAACAACAGTAGAGATAAAGAGTAGTGAGGGGGGTTTCTACAGATCATCACTTAATAGTCAATATTTTGCACATCAAAGCAACATTAACAGATACAAACTCTTGGAAATTTTGTGTTTCAAAGCCAATTGAATGAAACATATGTTGTATTTGTTACAAGCTCTTTTGCTTTTGCTCCACAGCTAAAAATGTAGCACCTTGTGCATGTTTACAGAATAAGCTGCCTTTCCTCTCTCTAATTGTTATGCCAAGCGTGAGCTGAGTGAATGCTGACACTAAGAAAAAGATGGATACCTATTGTTTATGTAGCAATCAATCCCTTCTTCAACACAGCCAACAACATTTCATTCCACATATCAACAGGGCCTGGTAAGCACCAATGAACGCAGTCATTGAAGCCCTCCATCCCCATGAAGTCCCTGTGTGAACTAGGGTGACCATCGGGTCTCATCATCATAGCCTTGGTCACATCCAGAAGACCAAACCCTTTCCCACCCTTTGCACTCCTCATGCTCTCAAGCTCCTCCACCTGAGCACTTCTCATATCATACTCCGTGGCAGTGAGGCTTATAGCACCTTCCTCAAATGGCCTCGTCCGGCTGCAATCCCCTCCATCATTCCAAGTACCATTCTCAAAATGTGCCGGCGCGAATGTCCTTACCACAGTCACCAACCCTTCGCACTCCTCACACTTGTTAATGAACTGGAAAGCTGTTCTGAAGGCCTTTCGGATGGCAAAGTTGATGCCAAAGTCTGTCAGATTGCCCTCCGAACAGTACACACAGCCTACCAGTTTGTCATACTCATGGAGGTAAAGTTTTCGGAAGAACCAGTGGCCATCGGAGATGATAAGATAGTCAAGCAGTGGAAGCTTTCCGGACCAGCTCATATCAATCCTATCCAAGTGCAGATCATAAAATCCAGTGCCTGTTCCATTGATCACTTGTTCTGCTGCTTCTACTAAAAATTTGGTCCACAACTGCATGAGGGTGAAGTCGTAGGACTGGAAATACCAAGTTTTGACTGTGTCTTCATCCTCATTTTTTGCACCGAGTGGAATCTCAACCTGTTGATTAACCATGACAAATAATTGTCAAGCACATACTGTGAAGAGGATATTATTGCCTAACCATTAGTTTTTAGGTATCTTCTTCTGCTTGAATTCAGCAATGAGACCATTGAGAGGTAAATGTTTATGTAAATTTTGTATTATATTACAAAATAAAAAAGTGTTTTGAGTTTTGTAAAGCTTATAATTAGAACCTTAGGAAAGGGAATGAGAATCAATTTCCTTTTTGCTTAGGTTTGGATGCAATGATAGAACTTGAGTGAGAGCCAATAAATTGGCTGATAATTAGTGATTTGTGGCAATTGAATTAGCAACTTTTTTTAGAGTGATGTAAGTTTCAACATTAAGAAGCCTATGTCTCAACCATTGTGAGATGGACTGCATGCATCTTTTCTTTCATTATTGAATTCTGTACAGGATTATTCTGTACAGGAAAATTGTTTCCTCTATCTTTTCTTCTAGCATCAAAAATATTAATTAATTTTTCTCGTCTATCTTCGTATTATTTTAGATATACTTGACTTGCTCCTTCTATCTCATGCTAGAATTAATTGTGTATGAACAAAAAGAAAAAATAATTTAAAATTATAAGTTCATGGTCTATTCAATATTTAATAGTAAAAAATACTATGAGCAATGTGAAATCAACATGCATGCAGAATTAGAGCTTGCATGATTGGTTTCATGCCTGAGACAAGAAGCAGATGAGCGAACTCATCTGGTTCCGGCTGACCGAGTCCCCCACGAACGCCATCGTCTTCCCCCTCATCATCTCCAAGAACACCTTCCCCTGAAACCTCGGCAGTTGGCACTGCTTCGGCTTCCACCTCCAGTTCACGTAATCTTGATCCTTCCCGTACTTCCCACAGTTGTGCTCCAGCATCAACGGGCACGACCCATTGGTGTAACCCGATCCATCGAAGTCCCGCACCCATTCGCCATCGGCCAAATCGCAGTCCGCTGCATCGCCATCAGAAAAGCAGAATTAGAAGAAGAATCCATGTACGTGGCTAGAGAGGAGTTCTTACTGATGGTGGTCTCATTCGCAGGGCGCAAACCAAGGTGGTCTCCTCGGGAGATGGCCATGAAGGGTCTGGGATAACACATCAAGGAGAGAAAGAAGAAGGCAAACGCAAGCGCGACAAGCAACAGCAGCAACTGCCGAGTACTCGTTAAGGCCATGTTCGCAGATCGCAGAAGAACTGGTGGGGAAAGAGAGAGAAGGGGGAAGAGGATGCATGATTTAATGCATGTCTTGGCATGGTGTTGATGTTGTGTTATCCAATTAAGGTGAGTAAATTAATGTTGATTGGAGAGGAGATTTTGTTGCTGGTGGCTTGCCTTGGATGTCTCCCTTCCTATTAAAACTTAGGAAGATGTATCTATTCATAATCATATTCAAAATAGCAACATGCTTACGGAGAAACCTCCATGAATAATGAATACTGCATGTTCTTGTTCTTAGGGTTTGAAGATCAGACTGAAAATACAGGAATCACTTCGATTTACTAATGGACCGTTTGAACCTTAAAAAGATTTAAGTACGTGCATCTCTTTTTCACTACCAAATATCTTTGATTTTTTTTTTTCCTTTAAAGAGTATTCTAAGTATTTTTTGTTTTTTATTGTAAGGATGGAAGAGAATAAAAACTCACATGTAAAAAATTATGTGATAATATATTGTTTTTGCATCATTAAAATTATTTGATAATATTGATTGTTTAATTTATTGCTCGAAACATCGGTTCATCCAATACCCATGATGTTATAGATATTTTTAAGAAAATACAATGATGTCAATTTATGTTTCCATATCACTATGTTAACGACCAGTTGATACAAAGTTAATTATAATGACATCTATGCAAGTTTTTTATGAAAGTAAATCTAAAAGAATTTAGTAACATTGAAGAGGTCTTAATATTATTCGAGTCACAACCAGTGATTTCTTGCTTCCTTTTTCTTCTTGTGATGTAATAGGAGAAGTAAGTCATTGTATGATTCGACATTCTACATTTAGGATTTGGTTCCAAGGTGCATTTCCTATGACACTATATGCTTCATACATAGTGCATGCATTCCCCATAGTCTTTGTAATTTTCGGGCATCTTTGATCGGTGTTCATACTTGTATTTCTATCCTATACTACTGTACTATATACTAATACGGCCTAGAAATTTAAGATAGTACTTATAGAATCTTATCTAAAAACATATGATAATGCCAGATAATAATGTATGTTGACTCCGTAC